GTAGGTTAACATCATTTGCCTTGGCAATAGTTAGAGCAAATCAGGGATAAGCAAGTATGTGTCAGATACACATAACTGAAAAGAGAAGAGCATTTCCACACGAATTTCAGGGATATGAGGTATCTATGAAAATTATACATTAAAAGGCAGTCCATGATAAGAACAGAAAGAATCATAGGGGTTTGAGCCATATTCTCCAATTTACTAGTAAGAATTTCATATGATACAAAACAAAATCCATCATCATCATCCTCACTAACAAATACTGATTCCTTTCCCTATGCCAAGCAACGTGTCAGGATCCTTAAATGTATTATCTTATTCCTAGCAATCACAGTTTCTACCTGTTAGGCTCTCAGCAAGAGATCAGATTTTTCCAATGAGCTCTATCCTTTATGTAAACATAGACTCATAAAATTGTTTGCAAGTTAAATTACTGATGATCTCTCCCCCACGCTTTTAACCTCACAGATAGAAATTCAAGTTTATAAAATTTTCTGGGACCTTATCTTTTAATTTCCCAAAGCCAGGGCCCAAATGGCTACATCCCAACTTTTCAAGTTCACCATCCATGAAACATCATGGATGACAGTTCATGAACCTGGACTCTAGTCGTCAAGCACGCAAGCTTATAGATGTCCAGTCCCTTAAGGTCACACACTGTCACTTCTTCCCTAGCAGTGGCTTTCTACCCTGATGATTATTATTTCCAATTTCATGTTAACCTTAACATAAAATCAACCATTTGCTCAATGAGGAAGAGCATTTATTCTTGGTGTAAAATAAAATGGAAGTCCCTCTTCCCCCTGGTGATGGATGACCTTTCTGGAAGTTCCAGGCATTCTCTTCCTAAACGTCCATCACAAAACTCACCCCAGGTTGTCAAAGAAAGCAGAATGAAATACTCAGTTCTGAATACAAGGGGAGAGAGCTAATGAGCCTCAGTATGTCCCAAGCCGGTCACCCACACTGATTATGTAAAAATATATTTTGTCTGGTATTTGATTTGCCACACAGTTTAACAGAAAAGTGACTTTATCTATTTTTTCCAATTAAAGGAAGTAATGTTACAATCAATAATTCCTCCTGCTCTTGTATGCTAAATTAATGTCTGTCTGTTGTTTTTAAATCACAAAGTGAGCATTGCTATAGAAATATAAAATGGTACTATTTCATTTTAATCTATTTAATTTTCCATCTTGAATTACATAATGGGGTTAAAACATTGAATAGAATTAATAGAATGGGTATTTAATTAAGCAATAATGAGTTTCTAAATGGATGCTCAAGGAAACTGGCTTTGTAGTTTATGCAAGAATCAGATAATGGTCTTAACAAAGACTATAATAATTGTGTAGAATGTTTTCTATATTTAAAGATTTTTTTTTTTTTCTGAATTCTCTCAAGAGTAGATTTAATCATAACCCAGTTCCTTGACTAGACTCCACTTTACTTTCAAGGTGAATTCCAAATACCTTTCTGTGGCTCCCAAAGCCCTGCATGACCTGACTCTATCCTCTGGAGTCCAATGAGAGACAGTTCTCCCTGGCCCTTGCCTGCACTCCAGCCACACCCACCTTCCCTCCGTCCTGCAAATGTGCCATGCTCCCTCCGCCCTTGGCCTTTGCTCCTGCTGTTCCAGATGCCAGGAATGCTCTCTCTCCTTTCCCCTTATTAACCCCTCATCTGCTTTCCATTTTCAGGGAGTTCTTCCCTAAGGACCCTCCCCAGACTGGGTCAGGCATCCACTTCCTCTCACCACCCCCCATTCAAGCTACAGGCTCAGTGTTGCGTTTTTCCTAACATTCAGCACAGTTTTATAATCATACATAGGCCATGTCTATTTCGTTTTCTAGCATATCCCTAGAATTTAATACTATAGCATGCCTGGCACAGAGAAGCCACCCACCAAATTGTTGACTGACTGTCTGGAAGATGGATGGATGGATGGATGGATGGATGGATAGAGAAATGGATGGTAGGAAAATGTAGCTGTGGACACATTACTACAAATGAGGACATATCAGGACCACAATACACACTGAGAATTCCTGAAACAATACCACATTATTCCATTTGGAATCATTTGCTCACACACTCAAAGGGTGTTCTATGTCAGCCCCTATGGTAGGTGCTACAGACATTAAAAAAGAAAAGTGTCCTGGGAAAACTGCACAGGTTTTTTCCCCACTTAGACCTGGCCTAAATATTAATTTTACAAATCCACCCAACCATCCATCTGTCCATCAGATCTTCATGTGTCCAGCACTGTGCTACGTACTGGGGATCAGGGCCGAGTCACACATCAGGTGTCATAGGCACAGTGCTAGGGTCCTAAAATCAGAAGAAAACGAACTTTCAGGGTCAAAGAAAATTTTAATTGTTTTTCCTCACATCAGAAAAAAAAATGAAATTTTTAAAACCCATGAAAACCTATTATGGTAGGAAGGGCCAATGAAGGTAAAATTACCTAAGATCCAAGAAAGTCATAAGGCAGCTATGCTAGAGATGTCCTGGAGAACAAGAGAGATCAGTCCATCCTTACCCTTCTGGAACATCAAGCAAGCGGCAGGATCAGGCATCAGTCAGCCCTCCAGTCCCTCTTACTGCCCCTGTAGAGCCACCCCGCTCACATTTCCTCTTCCCTCCCCACCCCCGCCCTGGCCTTTGAGGCCAGGTCCCACCCCCTGTATTTAAGACCACTGACTCATTCAACAAATATTTTCTGGGTCCCCTCTCTGCACCTAGCATCATGTGAGGGTCTGGGGAGAAAGCTGTGAAAACACAGCCTTCACTGAGCCTCCAGCCTCCTCAAAATCATGATGTGCTCTTTGTCTTCATCCGCAATGTGACCCTCGTCCACTTTGACAAAGCAACTCCTCACCTCTGTACTGGATGTAACAGCACCTCTACCACATGGATGGATCCCAGCATCCTCCAGTCTCGGCACTCCCTGTGCCCACATAACCACCCACCTGGCGTCCTAAGTTACAGGTGTCAGAAGACCCACGAGGGCAGGTTATGAGCTGAGGTCTGGTGTGATCAGTGGGGCCAAAGAACCAGTCCTCTGGCCCTGGACCACAGCCGGGGTGAAGGATGAGCCTCAGTGATGGGAGTCTTGAGTAACAGAACTTGTTAAAAGCAGAGATTACAGGAATCCAGGAGACATGGACTTGACCTTTGGTTCACTGAACGACTCTGGACTTTCCTTCCTTCTCTGTGCCTCTTTCTTCATCTGAATCTGAAGGGATTAGATAGCACCGAGGACACGCGTGGCTGACAGCAAGGGCTGATCCTGGCGCTCCTTCCTGCTGAGCCAGATGCACCGCAGGCCCTCAGCATGGAGCTCAGGCAGCGGCTCAGTACCGGGGTGGGCTCAACATTGACACCCCCTTACCGTTCTTGACCTTGACCTTGACCTTGGACCCTATCATGCTTCTCTCAACCGAACCGCATACTAGAATTATCTGAGCGGGTTAAGAAAATACTGAATCTCAGGCCTTACCCCAAACCCACTGAATTAGAATACCCCAGCCCCATCCCCACAAGGCATCAAGATTAAGGCTTATGATTGTTATTTAAAAAACAAACAAAAAAACTGAAGAGATTCTAATGTGCAGACAGGGCTGAGAACAGCCTATCTAGATTGAAGCTTAGGAAGTCCATGAATTTTGTGAGAAGGGGGGAAATCTAGAAGAGAGGACTACTTGGGAATCAGGTCAACTTCATTGTCGCCTGGAGCCGTTATCCGTGGGACAGCATCCCACCCCGCCCCCCACCCCCAGCTACTTTCAATCCTGCCATCAGGTTCCAAGAATGTCCCAGCGCCCCTTTCACAGAAACGAACAACCCACCCAGGTTTGCTGAGGTGTGGTAGACAAATTAGTAACCGTGCCTGCCCCATCCCCACAAGGCATCAAGATTAAGGCTTATGATTAATGATTTGCAAGTCAATTAATCAGCCACTGCTTTTGAAACCCCATTTCTCAAATTACTTCTCTTTGAACACAAGGGCTTTCTGACATCGCCGCACTGTCTCTAGATTCACTTTCCTACTAATTGAAATTCCAAGATATTTCTTCTTCTTGTCAGCTTATTGGTATTACTTGTTTGTAAAATATTTGCAAACAGATTACTATTCACCTGTAGTGTGTCAGAGGTAAGCACCAAAACAATACTTTATGCCTCCAGCTCAAAGGAATGTGCTAATGATAGCTCATGAAATTATCTATGGGAAAACTGATTTTTCATTTATTGATTTATTCTCACCACACCTACTTGCAACAAGTATTTGAGATATATGACAATAAAAACACGGGCACAGCAAGGCTCCAAACAACTGATTTATATGTTTCCTTAGGAAATGGGTTTTGAAAGTCCTGCTAGTTGTGGGGAAGAGGTGGGGCGGGTGAAATGCGCTCTCTTCTCTAGAGGAGATGGTGCAATTGAGCAGAGGCCTTGGAGTCAAACACCGAGTTTCCAGCTCCAGTCCCTCCACATGCAAGGCAGGGGCCCCGGCGCCCCGGTGACCCTGTTGTTGAGGGTCGGTGAGGCTGCAGGAACAAAGACACACAAAACTGTATAAAGGCTCAAATTCCATAGGAGTCTGTTTCTCCTTCAACAACAGCTCGGCACGGGTCGGGGGGACTCGGGCCCCACGTTCTTCCGCCTGCGGCCGCACCCTACCCCAGGGTCCTGGGGCCCTCTGTGTGTAGATAGATGGAAGGAGAGGCACCAAGAAGAAGGGACGGCTGCTCCCATCAGGCAAGCATCACTTCTGGCCACATTCGGGAGGAGAGAAGGCAGTCTCCGGGCCCCAGCTCGGTGCAGGGAAGGCCAAAAGGAGCGGGCTGTGTGCCCGCTGGGCTCTCCTGCATTATTCACCGTAAAATGAGTTGACGTGGGTAACGGACCCACTGCCGGGCCTGTGGGAAGGGCTCTGTGAAGGATCAGTGCTGTCTTTACCAAATACTGACAGTAACCATCTGCTCTGTTTGCAGTTTCAAGCCACTGTTGAGGAAGGAGTTGTGGGGGTTATTGTCAACTTGACAGTTGAAGACAAGGACGACCCCTCCACAGGTGCATGGAGGGCGGCCTACACCATCATCAACGGAAACCCGGGCCAGAGCTTCGAGATCCACACCAACCCTCAGACCAACGAGGGGATGCTATCTGTGGTCAAAGTAAGTGGACGTCCCACGCTCCTCCCTCCACATCAGGCAGAGGGCCTCCCTGCTGGGGAAGGTCAAGGGGAAGGCAGCCTTAGTCTCCTCCTCCTGGGGTTGAAAAAGAAAAAGGCTCAGGGCTTAAGGGTAGAGTTAATATCCTCACAGCCACTAAACCAACCCATTTCACAGGTTCTAGGAAACTCAAACGTATGTGTAACCTTAAAAAGAGAACCCAAAGTTAATTTTTAAACGAGATTCTCCATATGATTGGTAATGAATTATCAAAGATATGCAAAAACAGAACATTCAAAGGTTTTTTTTAAAGGTCTCTGATCAAAAATGTGGATCATTACATGTCTTCTTAGTCTGTCCCAGCAGAGTCCTGGGTATTCTCTTACAAACAGGAGATAAACAGCGCCTGGCCCTCGGAGCCCGTGTGCATGTCCTGGGGCTGCCATCACAAATGACCACACCCTCGGTGGCCTCAGACAATGCAGACTTATGGTCTCATTTATAAGTTCTGGAGGCCAGAGCTCCAAAATCAGCTTCACGGGGCTAAGGCTGGCGGCCCGGGTCCTCTTGGAGCCTCTAGGGGACCATCTATGTCCTTATCTTTCCCAGCGGCTGGGGACCAGCCACCTTCCTTGGCTTGTGGCCCGTTCTCGTAGCTCCAGGCAGCGAGGCAGCTCCTGTCTTACATCTAATTTCTTCCTTCAACTTCCCTGCCTCCCTCCTTTAAGGACTTCTGTGACTCCAGGGCTCTCCGTCCACAAGGTCCTTAGCTTACTCACATCCCCATAAGGTTCCGGGGATCCACCCATGGTCATACTGGGAGGTCTTTATTCAGCCTCGAGCAGGGTCCCATACACAGTTCCACAACCTTCTCCGGGGGCGGGGGGGGGGGGGGGGGGGGCAGAGCCCTTGAGAATGGCAGATCTCAGAGACGCTTCCGGCTTGCTCCGGAGGAGGAGGGACTGGGTTTCTCCCAAGCCCTGTTCTTTCCAGTACTTGATTCATTTTGAACCTCAGAGGTCTGGCTGAGAAGAACCACCCATGGGGCTTCCCAGTTGCCTCTGATAACACGGGCAACAGCGAGGTCGTCAGGAGCTCCTGCCGTGGCTCTCCTGCAAACCACTGCAGTTTCCAGTTATGGAAGTCGAGCCTGTATCCATAAATGCCATCAGGCAATTTTCCAAACCTGCAGCTGGAAGGCAGAGCTTGGGGAAATATACAGCCCCATCATAAATCCTAGAAAAGCGCAGTTCTCCCCGGCCCGTGTGTGCGACAGCTTGAGGAACAGACACTATGAGAAAACCAGAGTCACAAAGGGGCGTTCCCCTCTCCCCACATTGCCACTGTGGCCCATGATGCTGAGTCTGAAATGTTAGCATACAGGAGCATCACCGGGGAGGGTGGTTACAACCCAGGTTCCTGGGCCCCTCCCACACATGCCTGCAGGGTCACCACATGAGGGAGAGGTGCTGCAGGCCCCAGGAGATGCTGGGGTTCATAGAGCACAGCCTCGTGCATGAGCACTGCCTGAGAGCGAGTTTGCACCTGCAAATTCCTGCGGAGGAGGTGCCTGCAGCACCTGGGGCTCCCTCCGGGTGCCAGTTTTACTAGTGAGTGGACTCCCTTTGCTTCAGAATTAAAATGGAGACCCCCCTCCCGTTGGCTGCCTGCCATGTGAATTCCTCTGAGGGCCTTGGGCTCTCTCAGCTTCTCAACCCACCTGACTCGAAGCCCCAGGACAGCTTTCTACAGGCAGGCCAGGCCTTGTTCCCCACGCTCTTCACTTTGCCAGCAACGCAGTGCTTCATTAGGAATGCTCTCAGGTGCAAGTAACAGAATACCAGGCTGATAGTGGCTTAAATAATAAAGAGAATTTAATGATTTCCATAACTAGATGTAGGTAGGCCAGTCTACGATTGGCTGGCAGCTCAAGGTGTCAGAGAGCCAGCACATCTTCCCTCCGCTATGTTCTAAGGCAAGAAGCAAGAAGGCAGCCAGGCAAACAAGAGAGTGCTCTCCAGTGCCCCTCTCCTCTCATCAGGGAAGGAAATATCTTTTCCAGTGGTTTCTCAGATAATTTCCTGTGATGTTTCATTGGCCAGATAACACATACCCATCCTCAGCTGCAAGGAAGGCTTGGAAGTCCAAATCTGGCTTTTGGGGCCTCTGCAGGAAGAGACGGGTAGGGGAGCACAGGGTGGGCATGGTCACTGGGCAATGAGCAGTTGTGCCCTAACCAGTTAGCAGTTAGCGTACGGAAGAACGAGCAGAAGTTTCGGGACTGTGTGGCTCCCAGGGGAGTCCTGCCTCCCTGCAGGACCAAATCCTAACAGCTCTGGAAGGCAAGTACCTGTTTCCTCTTTAAAACCTTCTGGTCAGGAATGCTCCTAGTTGCTCTGTAAACTATTCCAAAACTGTCAGAGTTACCCTTTCACCTGAACATAATCCACCCTACATTTTAAGTGTATTTTCCCTTCTGTCCCTGGAGGAGAAGGAAACATCCAGAAAGCCTTGATCCCCAAACCCATAATAGGCTTACGAATCACTGTCGGATCACTTTCAAACCCTCCCTCTTCCAGACAGCAAAACCCACGTTCTTTACCCTTCCCATGTGGGATGGCTTTCCCAGCCCTTGAAGTCTCCACGTCACTAGTCCATACCTTCACTTGACGCTTAATGAAATAGTAATTGGATCGACTCTCTGGAACTTTATCGGAAGTGTTTCCAATTCCCTCCCCTCCCTGATCCAGAGACCCTGCATCAGACAGATCACATTACTAAAGTCATATGCCCGAGTTGAAGGAGGGCTTCTTCATCCAGCGTGAGCCAGAGCAGGGTCCAGGAGAAGAGAGCCACGTTGTGCCAGCTCCCGGTGGCCTAGCCCAGGGAACGCACAGCTCGAATTATTACAGCCAGCACCGTGCACATGGGAACGGGCGCTCAAGCGGCCCTGCCCTCCAAAAAGGCACTGTGAGACTCACCGCCCCCCCTCCGCCTGTGGCACTGTTCAGTTCTCAAACCCTCCGAGGCCAGTGTTGCACTCAGGGGATGTCGGTTCTTCTTCCTTTCTCATCACACTCCCCGGACCAAAGCATGGCTCGGTGCCACTTATTAGCTGTGTGATTTTGACTGAGTTATTCAACCTCTCTGAGCCTGTTCCCTCATCAACATTTAGTGGGACTAAAAACACCCACTATTATGACATAAAGTGAGGATTGGGTGAGTTGATGCACACAGAGTGCTCCTAGCACACAGTAGGTGCACAATAAGGGACAAATTATGTCGGAAAATAATGAAGGGCAGTGGTGAAAATCAGACATGTGTATTGTGGGGGTCGGGGAGCCATGGGGGCCCCACTGGTATAGATTGAATTATGTCCCCCAAGAAAAGATATTTTGAAGTCCTTACCCCCAGACCCTGTGAATGTGGCCATATTTGGAAAAAGAGTCACTGCAGATGTGATTAGTTGAGGTCATGGTGGAGGGAGTGGGCCCTCCTCCATCAGGACCATGTTCCTATAAAGAGACGACAGGGACACGCAGGGAGGGGGCCGTGTGACCGTGGAGGCAGAGATGGGAGTTGGGCGGCTGCAGGCCATGGAACCCCAAGAAGAGGCAGGGAAGTTTCCCCTAGAGCTTTCAGAGCCAGCAGGGCCCTGCTCACATTTGGTTTTGCACTTTCTGGTCTCCAGGACTGTGAGACAGTTGATTTCCTTGGTATTAAGCCACCCAGTCCTTCGTTCCGGCAGCCCTAGGAGACTAACACACCCACCGGGTTCCCTTACTAGGTAAGGCTGCCACTCCAAGAGCCCCAAGTGCTGGCAGATAATGCTCCCAGCCTATGTCTTCCCAGCAGAATTGCCCTCACCGAGAGGAGAACGCAGGCCAGGCTCTGCCCACTGGAGAGAGCCTGCAGTCTGCCTAACTGCAGGCAGATGCAAAAGACCAGCCCCTGCCCTTAGATGGGGCTGATTTGGCAGTCAGTGAAAGTTCCAGAGCTCCCCTGGCACTGGGCTGGACTCCTGCAGAGACCACATCCTTCTTTCTCCCTCTCTTCTGAGAAGGTGAGCCCGTAGATCATACTCCAAATCCCTGCCTCAGGCTCTGCTTCCAGACTTGGCTGGAGTCTCAGGGAACCCAGATAGAGTTATCTCACACACAAACACACACACACACACACACACACACACCTATCATACAACACGTACATACATATCTAATATAGACAAACACACATGCACATTTAACATGTAAAGACACGCATGTGCATGTTTACCATAAAGGCACACGTGTACTTATCCAACATAAATGTACACACATGTACCTAACATGTAAAGAAACACACATTTTAGCCATTCTATTTAAAGGTCATGTGTAAATAAACCAGATCTCTTCCCCTCAGGACCCCAATCTTCTCCCTCCGCCCGGGTCTGCCCCACTCCATGCTGCAGGTGGCTCGGCCCTCCTGCTCACCATGTCAGCCTCAACCCCAGCCCCAAATTCTGCTGTTCCGAGCCCCATGGAGCTCACTAAAGGGAAGAAACCCCAGCCTGGTGTCCTTTTCATCGTGGTAGAAAATTCCGTTGGGCTAGATTTGGGATTTCACAAATGTCAGTTTGCTACTTAACTTTGTCTCCAGAAGCATGCTGGGTCTGCCCGGCACTGGGGCCGGTGGGGGAGGCTCCTGGACCCTGGCTCCGCGTGTCATCTCTGCTCAGAGCACGGAGCACAAAGTGGTCACGACCCAATGAGCCAAAGGCTTCTGCCCTTCAGTATCCTAATCGGGATGCACGTCTTCCAAGCATGGCAACCCCTGGCCCCTGTTTGAAATGTACTTCACTGAGGTTGCATATTTGGGGCATCACTCGGGATGGACAGAAACCTCTTCCTGGAAAGGGATGGAGTGGTGAAGTATTCCTGCGTTTCAGGGATGGATGGGACCAAAATATAACTAGGTAGCGCCTAGGTGCCAAGTTGGCATTACATCTGTTAGCTCTTTAAGTCCCTCCGGGAGTGGCTGCGGGTGCGGAGAGAGGGGGGTCCTACTGCCATCAGGAAGCCCTCCTGTGTCAGCATTTCCTCTGTGTGTGTGCGCACGCACGTGCACACATGTGGGGTGTGCTAATGCATGTTAGTTATTATGAAGGTAACATGATTTGCCTACAGTCATTCTGACTCTGACTCAACCAGCTGGGTTCAGTTCCAGCTCTCCTACCTGCAGGGCTCTCTCCCCAGCTTCCCGGTCTCAGGCTGCTGCCACTTCCCGTGGCCCGTGCAGCCTGCCTGTCATTTGCTTCCTTCTAGTTGAGTGCGAACCGACTGCCTGTCCTCACTTTGGTCCTGTCCTCCCAACAAGCGTATCCATATGTCCTGGGTTTGAAGAGTTAGCTACTCATCCCCCGCAGTCAACATGAGGAAAACAACTTGAAATAAACAGGCTGCCCTCATCTGACCTAAATGTCTCCCCACATACCCTCAGTGACAGGAAATGTCACTCCTGCGTCATCTTGTGGTTTGGAAAGAGAGTGGCCAAATGAATGCCATCCGTGTCGTTCAACGATGGGCAGGACCCCCTGCCCATATTATTAATATGTCTACATAATATGTAGACATATTAATAATGTCTACAATGGGGTTTCCTAAACGTGATCTGATTTACTCTGCACAGCACCTGGGGGAGGCAAGTACTATCAGCCTCTTTTGTAGACTCACCTAGAGTGGGCCGCACCTCAGTGACCCTGGGGCCAGGACCGTCCACCATCATGTTGGAGGGTCCCAGCCCAGCCATGTGTCTCACAAAGACTACCCCTGCCCCGTATCTGACCACAGAGCCCCTGAGTCATGGTGACCACTGAAAATTCCCTGCACATTTTCAAATGCCCTCAGGTGGGGAAGGGCCCGGAGGCTTAACCCCACATGTCTCCAATGCTCTCCAGTCCTTTTACCTACATGACGCCCTCCCCGGAAATGCACCTGTGCCAGGAGAAACTCCTTTACCTGCTGACCGGACTCCAGCCTCGGCGCTTGTGGCCAGTGAGACAAAAGCGTTGAGGATGGACTTTTGGGCTGCCTTTTCCATTCAACCTCCCCCTTATGGTAACCGAGGCAGGGCGAACCCCATAGCTGGCGAAGCTTAGGCTGCAGAGTGGTTCGTCCCCAAACCCCCCTGAGTGTTGGAGTCATGGGGCTACAGGTTACACGTAGGAAGCTCTTTAATGTCAGCAGGGCAAGGGCGTCGCCTAAAGAGGTCTCAGACGGGGGCCCCAGGACTCTGAGCTTCACGTCATGTGTTGTCACTTACTCTCGATCCCAAAAAAACTACCAGCTTCCATTCCGAATTCTGTATGTTTCACATCCTTAAGGAGGACCCCACGTTGCATTCAGTTTAGCCCACAAAACCTGGATCCATCCCTGATCATCCATATTGGCTCGTGGGGTATCACAGGGACTTGGGGCAAAGGCATCCACCCTTTGTAGCAGATACACATGCTGAGCCTCCCATCTCTGCTTTCCAGCCCCTAGACTACGAGATTTCTGCCTTTCACACCCTGCTAATCAAAGTGGAAAATGAGGACCCGCTGGTGCCCGACGTCTCCTACGGCCCTAGCTCCACGGCCACCGTTCATATCACTGTCCTGGATGTCAACGAGGGTCCGGTTTTCTACCCAGACCCCATGACGGTGACCAGGCAGGAGAACATCTCTGTGGGCAGCGTGCTCCTGACCGTGAACGCCACGGACCCTGATTCCCTGCAGCATCAAACCATCAGGTGGGTGAGCGACTCCCTAACTGGGGACCCGAGACAGAAATGGTATTTCTTCTCTGGCTGCAGGCCTGGTTGTCAGGAGTGAACTAGCATTAAATTAAATTTGTTAGTGATCTGGGTAAGTAGAAGGTACATGTCATGGCTGATGATATCAGGACCAGGCTGACTCCAGGGGGCCATTGCCCCCACACCTGGCTCCTAGCACTAGACCAGCTCGGGAAGAGGGTGACTTCAGGGCTGTGTTTCTAAAATGGCCAGAGGGGTCTGCCAATCATAGTCCCTGAAAAAAAGAAAAGTCACCATCTATGGCCCCCTGCCTCTCAGACACTTGACCTATATTCTTGTCACCAGGACTTGATAAGGAAGGCTTTGGCTGACTCCACATACAGACAAGGGTATTATGAATCCAGAGAGGTTCAGTAATAGCTCAAGGTGGCCCAGCTTAGCAGCAGAGGAATCAGAATAGAAACAGGACAGTCTGCAAAGTCCGTGCTCTCTGCTAAGTGCTGTGGATTCTGAACCTGTCAAAAGGGGAAGGAACCAGACGTTGCTGGTACTTAGAAATGGAACGTCGGGGGCTGGGGTTTCCACTGATAAACGGCAAGCCAAAAAAAAAGTCTTTAAATATTTCTGTCTTCATTTTTTAAGCTCTGTCCGGTGTTTAGAAGGAAGGTATTTTCATGACAAGATTTAATTAAGTGATCATTGCCCGCAGAGACAAACTGTTCCCCTTGGTGCAATGTTTCATGATGAACCTGAATTGGGCATGCAGGTCCAAATGCACGCTTGTCTCCACAAAAGAAAGTTATTAATCTTTCTCTTCCAAAATCTAATCTTCTCCTAGGAGGAACAGATAATCAAGTATTAGATACACTTCTAATAAACACGTGTCGTATTTTCCTGATTTGAAACACCTGGAAACATATCAGGGTCTCCACGTGGCCCCGTTACTGAAGAGCAAACTGGCAGGAACGCAGCTCACGTTAGTTTCCAACCCAGAAGGGGATTTACTTTCATAACAAAACTTTCGGAAATGCCAGGTGAACTAGATACAGGTCGGAACTATACCAAATCCGATAATAATGTGACTCTGAAATAGCCATTCTGTTTTCTCTCTTTCCTTTAGCTGCTGGGTACCTGGCAAAGGAAATACCCAACTTAAATATCAAAGAGCCAGCTTTCCTTAAGTCCTTAGATGGGGAAACTAGTAGCTTAACAGACAGTAAGGCAGTCATACTAATTTAGGTTGTCTTTGGGGGTGCTTAACTGTCATTTTGTACTTCTACAACAGGAGGCAGAAGAGGGGACTTGGGGATGGGGAGAAAGCCGAATTTCGATGGGCTTGTTTTTGCTGGGGCGGGGAGGGGGCGTGCTTTGTGACTTGGGATGTTGCCAGAGAGCCTTAATGTGGTGGGGAGGGGCAGATGCTTGACCACGACCAAGGGGAGGTGGGTCTGTCCTGGCTCTCTGTTCAAGACCAGCTCTGGCCGACTTAGGCAAAAGGGGGAATCTGCTAGAAGAATCGCTGGGTAACAGTGTATCAAACTGAGAACATGTTTAGAACCAGGCCCTCCATAGCACAGGAGTTTGGTGGTACTCAGTCTCTAGGGGATGGGACGCCTCCACCCATTTCCCACACTTGTGCCACTGGCCATCAAAGGTTCACGTACACCAGGTGTGTCTGCTTTGTCTGAGCTGCAGTCATGAGCCTGCCAAATCAGGGCGCCTTTTTTTTTTTTTTTTAAGATTTTGTTTCCTTGCAATGCATATACATGATACTTGCTGCATTTGAAATTCCAGTTCATTAACACAGTCATTTTTAAGAAATCACTTAGTCACATTGTTATTAAATTATTTAAAAAAACGATTTTATTGATTTGTCGGAGAGAGAGGCAGGCAGAGGGAGAGCAGGGAGCCCGATGCAGGACTCGATCCCAAGGCCCTGGGATCATGACCTGAGCCTGAGGCAGACGCTTAACCAACTGAGCCACCCAGGCATCCCCCAAATCAGGGCACCTTGACGGGCCACAGAGCTCATGTTCTCGGATGTGGCTGCCCACCACAGAGCGCAGCTGGTGCGGTGAGAGGAGATCCCATCCTGCAGACGGCACATGGAGCTGGGAATGCGGGACAGGCCTCTGAGAGCCGCCGTCCCAGCAAACTGAGTTAGGGACAGGATTCTGGCCCGGAGAGGGAGGGCATGACTGGCCAGAGCCAAGACACTGAGGGGTGTCAAGACAAGGACATGAGCCACGGAGCACAAGGACCCAGCTACTGGAGGGGGTGCAAGAGTTCCCCCTTGTATCACAGGCAGAAGGTCCGTGGCGCCCACCACGTGAGAAGAGGAGGTCAGAGAAAGAAATGTGTCAATTACTAGACAGGAGACCCGAGGGAAAAAGCAGGAACATGGGAAGCTCCGTTGGTCATCACAGATCTGACCCTTCTTCCTAAGCTGCCAGGTCCCACCGTTTAGCCCAAGACGGCACGTATCAGCCCACGTGACCGAAAAGTGCCCACGGACGAGGGTACCCAGCATGAGAGCTCGAGTGTCCAGAGTATGCTGGACCTCTTGGCTCTGCTCTCCCCCGGGGTCAGCTTCAGCCCCAGCCATGCCTGAATGGCCACCAGCAATGCCAGCCCTTGGCCCTCCCAGCAGGAAGAGATGCTTCCCAACTGAAAGTTCAAGTCCAAGGGCGGGGCTGGGGTCTCACTGAGCCAGCTAGGACACACACCCATCTCTGAGCCAAACAGTATAGCAGGGAGGTGGAGTGTGCCCACCGGGGGCCCCACGTCCCACATGACCACCAGAGGAGTGCAGGACGCTCTTCCCAGGAGACCGGAATGGGGGCTGAGTCATCAGGAACCACGGAGAGTCACTGTGACCAAGTTCAATTTTGTGAGTCCCCTGGGGAAATGCAGCTGAGGTGTTTCTCGGTGGCTGGTTTGCTTAACAGTTCTAGCATTTACAAATACTTGCAGCCCTTGATCCTTCCCCTCCCCCTTTCCTCTCCTCCCTTCTTCCTTTCTGTCTCTCCCCCACCACCCTATCTCTATCAATATTTCATTCCAAGATTCTCTGTGACTCAGCCCCCATAACCCCCTTCTCATCTCAAATGACTCACCAGGCCCTGGGAGCTTTTGAGCCCAGGGGGAGGTGCTGCACCTGCCCAGGATCCTGGTACAGGTCCTGCCCCAACCCTGACGGGCACTCTGGCCTCTTCCCCAAGGGCCGGCCCCTTTGCTGTCAGAGCAGGGAAACCTCCTCCCCGCCCACAACCCGCACAAAACGCAGGAACTTCTAACTGATTCCCATCCAGGCCGGTGTCCTGTCTCCTGTGATGAAAGGCGCGTCTGGTCTCAGGCCCGAGGCTGGCACAGCTGGCCCCTGGGGACCACTCTTTCATCTCACCAGGGAACAATCAAGTCTGTGAAAGGCACCTTGATCTCTGAGAAGCCTGTAACACTCAAGACGGGAGGTGTCCAGGCATCAGAGTGAATACTCGCACTAAAAAGCCTGAGTTATTAAAACTTGTTAAAAAGCCCATCACGTTGCGCTCTTAGCCAAATCAAAGCGGACATCGGTGAGCTGGTGACAGACGAAAATCTTCTTTTTAATGACTTGTATCTTCTTATCCTTATTATAAAGTTAAGATAATTCGTGGAGGAACCTTTGGGAAAGGCAGTTAAGAATAAAGATAATAGTCTCTAATCATCTTACACAGGAAATCCTCTCTTAACAACGTGGGTATATTATCTCCCTCCGTCACGTGTGAGAAACCTTCTGTTTTTTTTTTTAAGATTTTATTTATTTAATTGACAGAGAGAGAGACAGAGAGAGAGGGAACACAAGCAGGGGGAGTGGGAGAGGGAGAAGCAGGCTTCCCGCTGAGCAGGGAGCCCAATGCGGGGCTCGATCCCAGGACCCTGGGATCATGACCTGAGCCGAAGGCAGTCGCTTAACCAACTGAGCCACCCAGGCGCCCCGAAACCTTCTGTTTTTATTACCAGAATTGGCTCCGATCACCCGTCCTGTTTTGGAACCTACCATGTCTCCTTCCCAGTGTATGGTGAGCAGCTTTCCATGTCAAGACATAGCCATTATTTTTAATTGCTTGATAGTATTCTATTCTATTACATGGATGTTCTCATTTATTCATTCATTTCCTTGTTATTGGGTATTCAGAGTGTTTCCAATTGTATGCAATTATTTTTTGAAAAGGTCAGTGGACATGCTTATGGCTAAATTGTTTAGTGCATCATTAATTTCACGAAGAATTTTTTTGAAAATACTTTGAGCAAAAAAGTATTGGTATTGTTAATGACTTTTGTCATAAAAAGAATTTTTCGTTTTTTTTATACCCGGGCAGTCACATTTATATTTTCCCTTATGATTTGAATTGATGTCAGGATTAGAAAGCCTCTCTGCTCCAAGGTCGTGTCGCTATAGACACGTTCTGAAACAGAGCTGCCTCCCCCACCGCATCCCCTCCACGCACCACAGACACGGGCCTCCTGCAGCCTTCAGGGTGGAGCCCTGCCTCCACACCCACCAAACAGGAGCCAGGCATTTCTCCATGACATATGGGTGTCTCTAATGAGGAGCAGGCTTTGAAACTGAGCTTGTTGGCTAATTACTGTCAGAAGGAGCAGCTCAATGGTAATTATGCTAAACTGGAAATGACTGCCCTTGTCCCACGTTCTCCACTAGCGAAATGAACACCAGGGACTAACCCTTGCATCCTCGCTGTTGATTCGGTTGCTTTGGGGAGGCACCCGGCAGCTCAGTCCTTCGGGACGGCCTGAGAGGACTTGTCTCATTGTTTTTCACAATCAGGGGATTTCCTTGGAGGCAACCAAGTAGCAAGTCCTTATTCTGAGCATTTTTTCAGACCGAGTTCATCTTGTCCGGGGTGTGCAGTAAACCACTCTGCAGCAGAGGTTTCTGCCTACACGTTGAATATATAAGATATGTGTTGAGGAGAAATACCGTTCCTACCAATGTG